GGGGCGGGGCGGCTCGTTGTATCCGGGCGCGCCCTGCTTTGCCCTGCGAACTACAAGTCCCGGCATACTCTGCGCCAGAGCCGCAACCCTTAAAGGGCCCGCCGCCCCCGCAGCAGAGGGGTGGGGGCGCTCGTCCAGGTGCGGGCCAGAGCCCGGCTCGTGTGCCAGCAGTGGCACGTGGGTCCTTGCCCCCGCGCCTCACCGCCCTGGCTATTCTCCGCCCAGCTCCCCGTCTGCCGCCAAGGGCCAAGGCACCACCGTCGTGCACCGCACGGTCAGCTACACGCCCGAGCCCCTGCCAGGTAAGGTGCTGAGCTGCTCCCGCCCGCGTCCGCCGGCCGGCCCCGCCGCCCGCGGTCCAACCGGCCTCTCCCGCTCTAGCCCGGCACTTTGACACGGACACGACCGAGCCGGTCAGCTTCTACCTGTCCAGCCTGGAGGAGCTGCTGGCGTGGAAGCCCACCCGCGACGATGACTTCAACGTGGCCGCGACGCCGCTGGCCGCGCGCCAGCCTCCGCTGCACAGCAAGAGACCGCGCACGCTGGTGTGCCACGACATGAAGGGCGGGTACCTGGAGGACAGGTGGGCACAGCGGCACGCGGAGCGGAGGGCATCCCTGCTTCGTGCTGGGGCAGGGACGTGTGCGGTGCCCGTGCAGGGAGGGCGCAGAGCGGTCCTCCAAGGACCTCGCCCGACTCCACCTTTCCTGGCAGATTCATCCAGGGCTCGGCCGCGCGCAGCCCCTATGTGTTTTACCACTGGCAGTACATCGACATCTTCGTCTACTTCAGCCACCACGTGGTGACCATCCCGCCCGTGGGCTGGACCAACGCTGCCCACAGGAACGGCGTCTCCGTGCTGGGTGAGGGGCTCGGGCCCGTTGCCCGGGAGGGAGCGGAGGAGGCCAGGCCTGGCCGCAGCTGAGTCTCCCTCTGCTCCGGCTGCAGGGACCTTCATCACCGAGTGGACGGAAGGCAGGAAGACGTGCGAGTCGTTCCTGGCCGGGCAGGCGGAGGCATACAGCGCCGTGGCCAAGCAGCTGGCCCGCATCGCCAGCTTCTACCGCTTTGACGGCTGGCTGGTCAACATCGAGAACGAGCTGAGCGTGAGCAGCGCCCTCGCAGCCATGCTGCACATCGTGCTGCCCCCCCGCAGCCGGAGCCTCCTCTCTGGCAGCGCTGGCAGCCGCGTCCGGCGCTTGCTGGGGCTGTCCGCGGCCTGGGCGTGACGCCTGCCTTCTGCTCTCCCCGGCAGGAGGCGGCGGTGCGGACGCTGCCCCTCTTCCTGCGACAGCTGAAGGAGCAACTGGGGCGGCTGGTGCCGGGCGGGCTGGTGCTCTGGTACGACAGCGTCCTGCGGAGCGGCCAGCTCAAGTGGCAGAACGAGCTGAACGAGGAGAACAGGTGAGGGCGGCGCACGGGGGGCAGCTGGGCTCCCTCACCGCCAGCTCATTGCAGCCCCTGGGGAGCAGCCTGTTCCCGGGCGCAGCCCCCTTCCTTTCCAGCCGTCCTGATGGGTGCAGAGCTGTGCCGTGGGGCCTGTGCCAGCTGCACCCAATGCCCCTGGGTCATGGCATGGCTCCCGTCCCGCCCCGCCCCGCCCCGCCCCGCAGGGTCTTCTTCGACGCCTGCGACGGGCTGTTCACCAACTACAACTGGAAGGAGGAGCACCTGGAGCGGACGCGGGCGCAAGCCGGGGAGCGCTGGGCCGACGTCTACGTGGGCATCGACGTCTTTGCCCGCGGGGACGTGGTGGGTGGTGGCTTTGATACAGACAAGGTATGTGGCTGGGCCTCTGCCGGGGTGCCACCCTCTGCCCACGAGGGGGTCACACATCCCCGGCCCCGCAGGCTGCGGTCAGGGCAGGGCGGGAGCAGGGTTTGCCGGACTGCAGCAGCTGAGCAGGTCACTAACCCTCGTGCCCGCAGTCCCTGCGCCTGATCCGCAAGCACGGCCTCTCTGCTGCCCTCTTCGCGCCCGGCTGGGTCTACGAGCACCTGGGGGCGACGGACTTCCTGCCCAACGAGGACAAGTAAGCCGGCCGGGCTGGTAGGGGCGTGGGGCTGGGCGGGGGCTGCCGGCTCCTCTCAGCGCCTCTCCCCACAGGTTCTGGGGGCTGCTGACAGAGCAGCTGTCCACGCACAGCATCGGCACGCTGCCCTTGCACACCTCCTTCAACCTGGGCATGGGCACCAGGAGGTTCTCCTCCGGACAGGTGCGTGCGGGACTGGGGCAGGCACTGCCCGGGCCCCGCCAGGCTCCCGCCCAGCCCCAGGCTCAGCCCCGTGCCCGGCCCTTCTCGCCTGCAGGAGGTGGTGGTCAGCCCCTGGTACAACCTGAGCGCCCAGGAGATCCAGCCGCTGTTCACGGAGCACCAGGGGCCGGGCGGCGGGCTGCGCACGCACTGCTGCCTGCGCGACGCCTGGGAGGGGGGCAGCTCCCTGCTGGTGGCGGGGGCCATCCCGCCTGACATCGAGCACGTGGCCGTCCGGTGAGCGTGGGCCGGG